CTTCCCCATGAAGAGTCCATGGAGGGGTCAAGGCCCAGCCCCCTCGCCGCAGCTCGGACACCTCTGAAGGGTCACGAGGCTTCACGTTCCCCAGGGGGTCAGCTGGGGACTCACTGCTCCTCTGGGAACCAGCTCAGATGGGGCAGAGCCTGGCAGTCTGGACGGTGAGGGCGGAGCTAGGAGGGCCCAGCCCACTCTGTGCAGTGGGCAGTCTGGTCCCAATGGTGTGACAGTTGTGAATTGGGAGGGACTGTGGAGCTGCACAGGGTCCGACGATCAAAAGTGTGGGATGGTGGGGGTGGGTCTAGCATGCATGAGGTCCCGGGTTCAATCCCCAGGACCTCCATTTTAAAAAAAGTGTCGGATGGTGGTGTCATGGGGGGCTTCTTTCATTGCCTGTCGCTCTGGGAAAAGCTAACGGGTTGGGGGAGAGACCAGGAAGACGTGGGGCTAGAGGAGCCAGCGCCCATGAGGGCGAAACCCCAGCCTGGGCGCCACCTGAGGGGGAATGGGCGGTACGGGTGACCCACACCAGGGGCCACACCTCCCCAGGTGCCCTCGTTGAAGACATGGGCCTTGCCGTCGGGGCCTGCTCCTGGGATCAAGCGGTGACAACCTGGGGGGGGGCATGCTGGCCCCTAGAGGAACCGCAGAACCCAGTAGCACGTCCCGGAGTGCAGGGGAGCCTATTGGTTGCAGAGCCTTCCCTGAGGTCCAGGACGCACACCCACAAGGTGATGCGGTCACAGCGCTGGGAGGCCGGGAAGGAGGCAGGGCATCAGAGCAGACGTGGAGAAGGGCCATGCGTGAGGCGCCCCCCCAGCCCCCGTCAGCAGCTGCTCGTGGCGAGGTTGTCACAGAACTGACGGTGGGGGTGGTGGCGCCCGGCCGGCAGCGGCAGGTGGATGTGGCTCCTGTGAGCAGCAGGTTGGAACCAGGCCAAGGGCCTGAGGCGCCTGAGGTTGTGGTTACAGAACACCATGTTCCCGGGGATTGGCCGGGCTGCCCAGGAGAACTCAGGGATCCGTGATCGGGAGGCCCCAGTGAAAGGTCATGACCCCTTGCCCAATTTCCAGGCCTGGGGCAGGTTTCAGACCCGGAACCCCCTGCCTGAAGGGCACAGAGTCTGCCACACATTACACTTCCCCCAGCCCTTCCCTAGAACCCTGTAACTGAGCACAGGGCAGAAGAGACACCGAGCGTGGGAAGACAGCCGGACGCAGGGTTCCAGGCGGTGCCGGTACCGGGAGCCCAGTAACACTTGGAATTCCAGCCAGGGTCTGAGCCCTGACCTTGAGTCTACATGTCCATCAGGTGGTCAGTTCCCCAGGCTCAGAACAGACAAGGGGAGCAGACAAGCTTGATGGTGGGCATCACTTCCTTGGCCACCAGCCAGGGCAAGTCCTGTGGAAGCCTCTGGAAGGGCCTCACCCAAGATAATAAGTTGAAAGCCACATGATGTCCCAGGTGATTAGTGACATGTTTAAAGCCCTGAAAACGTGGGCCTGTCACATCTTCATTTAGACCACCGGTCTGAGCCCTAGAAAGGGCAGGTGATGGACCCCAGGCTGTGGATGGCTGCCGAAGCCCGCCTCGGCCAGACATGCTGTCTTTGCCAGAGTCAAGTGTCCACGGCCTCAGGTGTGCAGTGGCCAGTGATGGGTTCACTCTCCCTGGTCCCCGTGGGGAAGACTGAAACAGTTCAGGGTTCCTGGGGGTGAACACATGGCCCCTCCCAGGCTCTGCAGACCCTCCTGCCCACAGTCCCCTGGACCAGCCACACGTCCCTGGCAACAGTGGCTCCGTGTAAAGGCCAGGTGACCAGGAAGTGGCAAGTGCCCTGGGGCCTTTGTGGGACCGTGCACCCTAGTGGGGTGGGCCCTGCACAGACGCGGGGGCCTAGCACCCCCATCACCCCCCTGCCAAAGCGAAGGACGCACGGCGTCTGGAGGTGCTGGAGGGGCAGGTCCTTGGGACTGCTCGGCTCACAGCTGAAGGGGACTTGGAGTGCGGGGGGGGGCTGTAGTGCTGAGTCACTGCTGCTGCTGCCTCTGACCCCGCCCTGCGGGCCAGGGTCTGGGTGGGGGAAGTGGGAGCGCCCCCCGACGCCCCGGGGCCCAGAGCGGCGCCGCCTCTCCATACTGGGGCTGGGCGTCGTGGGCTCTGAGGTGTGGAGCAGTCTCCCTGGTCTCTGCCCACTCGAGCCAGTAGCTTCCTCACCCCGTTTTGACCAGTGTCCCCGGACACTGCCTCGTGTCTCCTGGGCCACGTGTGGAGAATTGCTGGCTTATGGAACGTTTGATCCTGTGGCACAGAACCCCACACGTGGACACATCAGACCAAGGGGTCTGCTTTACAGCCAAGCCAGGATAGGGCTGGGCCGGGGCCACGGGCATACGCACCACACTTCTGGGAGTTTCCAGGCTGCAGGGTACGAAACAGCCTGCTGAAGGGGCCAGTCCAGGCAGAGGGGCCCGGGTGGTCCTGCAGCGCCCTCTGCTGGCCACACCTCCTTCAGCCCCCGCCCAGTGGTTGATCCACTCAGGGGCCTGGACCTGTCCTTTCCCTTGGCCAGAGGGGAGACCACAGAGCTCGGGCAGGGGTCACTGCCCAGTTGCCCCACCACCCTAGGCGGAGCCAGACCCTCTGTGCGGGCGCCAGTGTCCAAGCCCCCAGTGCCCATGTCCGCACACCTCAGCACGTGGACCCTCGGGACCCTGCCTGCACCCTGCGCTCCTTGCCCACGCCTGGCGAGGTCCTGCTGTGGGCGAGTCCACCCTTCCTGCCCGTCCACACCCTTATTAACGCTCCTAAACCATGGGCCAGGCGGGAGACCCTTCTCCTAGTCTGGCCCCAGCTCCCTCGGCTGGGAACATCCTCCCATTTACGGAGGGGAACACTGAGACTGGGGGCTGTCAGCCACTGACTCCAGACCTCAGCCTCAGAGCAGAGGAGCCAGGACCCTATGCTGAATGTGGGACATGCCCCTGGGGAGGGGTGGGGCCCTTACAGAGGGTGTGACGTGGGGAAGGGGCTAGGGCAGTCGTCTGATGGCTGACAGCTGAGCAGAGACCCGGGGTGGGAGGAAGCAGGAGCCTAGACTGGTATTCCCAGCAGGACAGCCGTGCAGAGGTCCTGGGGTGTGGCTGCACTTGGCACTTCAGAGGAACAAGGTCAGCCTGGACTCTGCAGTGAAGGGGCAGGGGGCCCTGAGTGGGGGTCCTGGAGTAGAAGGAGGCGGCCAGTGGGCCACCCTGGGCAGGGCCAAAGCTGCCATCAGTACAGAGACGCCCAGCTGCCTTGTCCCTCCCCAGGCCACCCAGGCCCTGCAGTACCCATGGGGGTGGTCTAGGGTGGGCCGTGGCACAGCAGGAAGGCCGAGTAGGGGAGGGGTAGAGGACCCCTCAGACCCTGACAGACCAGCATGGGGGCCACAGAGGAGCCAGCTGCAGGGCTCAGGCGAGAGTCCAGCTTCCTAGCGTCCAAATCCCCAGGCCTGCCCCTCCCCGCTGCCGGACGACTGGCCTCTCAGGACATCTACTGATGCCACCTGTGTGGGAGAGGGGGGTTTCAGGACCCCAGAGCCCTGGGGGGCAGCCACTTAGGTAGCCGCGCCGTGCAAGGGGAGACAGTGCCACCCAGTGGCTGTGAGCTCTTTTCCATGGCCAGCAGCAAGGCTGGGGACCCTTCAGGTTCCAGCTGGAAAGGGGGACAGGTCCTTGCTGTGGCCGTGTGGCCCCACGGGGGAGATGGACCCTAGCTGGGCAGAAACCACCTACTCTGGCCTTGACCCTGCTAACCAGGCGCAGAAATCTTCCTCTCTTCCCCTCCTGGGAGCCCCCTTAACACCCCTCCCTAAGGCCAGGGGTCTCTCTTGTCCATTCCCACTCCCCTCTGACAGGAGGCTTGGCCACGCCCACCTGACACCCCTCAGCAATCAGGTCTGCGCTCTGTTCTCCAACAACCCCCCCAGCCTGAGGGGCTCCTAGAAGTCCCCAGATTGCAGGCTCCAACCTGCCCTGGGGCTCCTCAGGGACCCACAGCCCTGCCCCTCACCTGCCCCCTGCCCTGCACTGCCCTCCACCCGCAGCCATCACTCTGCTGGTGACCCTCCCTCTGACACGCTTTGCCCAGCCTCATCATCGTGTCTGCAGGAGATGACCAGCTGCCCCCAGCGTGGGCTCCCCTGCAAGTCTGACCTGGACCTGAGTGGCCAGCAACCTGTGCTACAGGTCAGCCTCCGAGCCAGCTGGACCCCCGGTCCCTCTAGGAATTCGGGGACACTAGCTCCCCGCCCCCCACCACGGAGATGGACACAGAGCAAAGGAGGCCGAGACCACGGAGATGCAGGAGAGCCCAAGGCAAGCCTGCTGCGGGTGCCCCTGCCCAGCAAGGACCCCCGGGGTAGAGTCCCACCTGCCCAGGCTCACCCCAGTGCCCAGGTGGGTGACCAGCTCGGGCTCGGAGAGCATCCGGACAGCCAGAGGGCATGTGGATGCTGTGGTCAGCAGTGCCAGGACAGTGGGGGACGTTTATATGGATGGGAGTGAGGCCTGGGGGGCAGGGAAGTGTAGGTGAGGGGGAGCAGCCACACTGCACGGGGCAGGCGTCAGGGGCGTTGGGAGACCCAGCGCTCACTGGGGGGCAGCCCTGGTCTGACCACCACAGAGTGGTGAGAAAACCCTGGGCGGGGGGAGGGGAGTGCGGTCCGTGGGGCCTTTTTCTCAGAATTCTGCCAGTTCTGCGCGAAGAACTGCTCCTGGGGTTACAGCAGACTTCCACTGCAGCTCAGCCCCCCGCTGGGCCCCTGACCACACTCACCCTAGGGGGCCACAAGCTGGGCCCTGAAACCCGCTGGGTCGTGGTACTGATGGTGCTTGTGAGCCTGCAGCGGGGGGGGGGGCAGGGGGAGCCCCCAGGGACAGCAGAGCTGCTGGGCTCGGTACCCGCAGGACAGGCTCCATTTCAGAGCTCCCGTTCTTAAAGGGACAGACTCGTGCTGGTTCTGACTACCTGCAACGGCCAATTTTATTATAAAGAACAGTATCAAAATATACGAATCTCTTGAAGAATCACCCAGGAACGCAGATTTTTAAAGGGCCAGACAGGCACCAACCACTTCAACGGCAGCGTCCGCCCGACCGTTCCCCGGGTGCAGGGCCGCCGCGGCCGCCCGTCGGGCACCGGTCTGATAACTCGGAGCGCAGGTGCGGCTTCCTGCACGGGGCGCGCGTCATAAGTCTTCGCGGGAGGGCGGCGGTGCGGGGTTTTCTTCTGTGGCTTCTGTCAGAAAACAAACAGATCATTCGGTGAAGTCCTGGCATGAGAGACTCTGAGGACGTGGCCACAGGGCTGGTGCTGGATGCAGCAGGGTGGAGCCGGCCCGCCCCGGCCCTGGGGTGGCACCAGCTCCTTCCAGGGGCGGCGGCCATCCCAGAGCCACTGCACCACTCTGGGGTGGGAGGTGGGAGACAGGAAGCTGGGGAGGCATCCCCGACATCAGTCCAGAGAGCCTGCGTGACGGGGAGGGGCGAGGGCCGGAGGTCCCCGGGACAAGGTGGGGGCAGGGGGAGCATGGCCGAAGCCCCTCCTCGCCCGGGCCTGCTCTCTGCCGACCAAGCCCCTCTGTCCTTGTTGCCTCGCCGTCACTGCAGCGCGTCCGCACGGATTCACTTCTGTTTATTCTTTATTCTCCGTCCTGCTGGGGACTCAGGGGGCTTCTGGCGTCTGACTCAAGTCTTACTCCTTCTGGGAAACTCTCAGCCATTGTCTGTTTGAACATTGCTTCCTTCACGTTCTCCACATTCTTCTAGAACTTCTGAGACTACCATGAGAACGGTGTCCCCCACCCCCAAAGGTGCTGACATCCAGCCTCTGCACCGTGAACGGGACCTGCCTTGGAAGCAGGGTCTTTGCAGGTGATCAAGTTAAGGTGAGGTCATCGGGGCCTGATCCAGGGATGCGTCCCGTAAGAACACACACCCAGGGAGAGGGCCACGTGACAACAGAGGGCGGGGCTACGGGGCCGCAGCTGCACGCCCAGGAACGCCGA